TTGGTGCTGATAATACAAGTTCCAGGGTTCCATCCCTGTACTGGCCAGCCACCAAAAAAAAAAAAAACAAAAACAAAAACTTAAATTTGAAAAGTGTACTACTGCTTTTTGGATTATTGCATATTTTTTCCTTCCCCAGCAGACATTTATTGATCATTTTATATGTGCCAAGCAGTGTGCATGATGAACCAAGGGGCTTATCTTTTACCTGTTCCGTAAATGGATTTTTCCTCTGAACTCCATCCTTGGCCCTCTTCTCACTAGGTACTCTCCCTCAGTGCTGTCATCTACTCCCTTGGTTTTAATTACGTCTAGGTACTGATAACATTTTTATCTCTAGGTCATATCTCTCTTTAGAGCTCCAGGCTTGAATGTCCACATCCTGCCATATCTACACTTGTGTAGCTTGCATCTCAACTTGTTCTAAACTTCATCACCATCCCTCTCTTACACCCCTTTTACATTCACTCAGTAAGGACATTCTTTGACACTTAGAATGCTACTACCCTTAGGTCCAGGATACCATCATCTTCCACTTAGACTCTTTTCACAGCTTTCTAACTGATTTCCCTCCATTGTTACTGCCTTCTTTACATTGTTTTACATTTACATTACGTGGTCTTTGAAAACCACAAATTTGATAGCATTTGTAATTTTCCTATTTAGAGTCCTTCAGAGTCTCCTTTTGCCTTTGGGATAAAATCCAAATTCCTTAACATTCTTCACAAGACCTTCGAGGGTCTGACCTTGACTATTTTCCAGCCTCCTTCTGTATCCCTTTACTCTCTCTCCTTGTTGCATTTTATACTTTGGCTGTGCTGAATAAACCCACCATAGTAAAAGAAGTTAGAATAGGTGCTGTGAAAGTTTNTTCTTCACAAGACCTTCGAGGGTCTGACCTTGACTATTTTCCAGCCTCCTTCTTGCATTTTATACTTTGGCTGTGCTGAATAAACCCACCATAGTTAAAGAAGTTAGAATAGGTGCTGTGAAAGTTTCTAAACGTTTATCTCCATTTCTGGTGTGAACCAGCTCAAGTCTTTGGACCACACTTTGAGTACCACTGAATTATGATACATATGCCAGATGGGTGAATTATATAAGCAAAATATTGAGAGAAAAAATAACAACATTTTTATAAAACTCACAAAGAAGCACAATTAATTTTGTTATGTGTTTATGGCATAAAACTAAATAAATTTCAGGAAAGTGCTTCTGTGGGAAGCAGGTTGGTGGGGGGAGGGGAAATGCACAGGTGCAGTAATGATACTGATGGTGTTCTAATTTTTAGATTGGGTGGTAGATCAGTGTGTCAATTTTATTGGAATGCTTTATAACTCATATGTTGCATGTATTTACTTGTGTGTCAAAATTGAATTCTAAAATCAATTTGTAAATTAAAATAATTATGGGAAAAAATAGTGAAGTCTTTTTTTTCTTAGTATATTAATCCTGAAAGGAGACAAACACACACAAAGACAGACCAAGAGGGCTCAGTGTACAAACACTGTATTCATTATTTCAGTGGCTGGAGAAGTCTTAGTATGAAGCAGGCCTTTCGTTTGAATAAAAAGAAGCAAAATCATTAACAATTTTTTTGAAGCCCAGGCTATAAAGTAGGAAATGCCATTTCAGAAAATATAACACAGTGACATCTAAATTTTATATGAAGCAGTGGTTTTTCTTCATGGTTCTAAAAGAAGAAGAGAACCAACTGGAAAAAGAAAGAAAAAATATTGCAGTGAACTCACAGAATACTGATAATTGAATATCATTGTTCACATTCTCTTGGTTGGAGAATGTTTTAAAAGCTTACATTGAGTGTTTCTTTTTGAAAGATTGCTTTTGCAGCTTCAACTTTTGCCAAGAAAGTAAATTTAGAGGTTTTTAAACTCAGGCTACACATTAGAATCACCTGGGGAACTTTTTAAAAAATAATTTATTGATGTGAAATTCATGTAACATAAAAACAACCATTTTTTGTTTGTTTGAACAACAATTCACTGGCATTTAGTATATTCGTATTAAACTCAGGCTACACATTAGAATCACCTGGGGAACTTTTTAAAAAATAATTTATTGATGTAACATAAAAACAACCATTTTTTGTTTGTTTGAACAACAATTCACTGGCATTTAGTATATTCGTGATGTTGTGCAACCACCACCTTAATCCAATTACAAAACATTTTCATGACTCCAGTGTAAAACCCTATACCCATTAAGCATTTTCTCTCTATTCTTCCCCTTTCTCCAATCTCTAGCAATCACTAATCTGCATTCTTTCTCTATGTATTTACCTTTTCTGGATAGTTCATATAAACGGAGCAAAACAATATGGGACCTTTTGTGTTTGGCTTCTTTCACTTAGGATAATGTTTCTGAGGTTCATCCACCTTGTAGCATGTTATCAGTATTTTGTGCCCTTTCATGGCTAAGTGATTTTCCATTGTATGTACATACCACAATTTATTCATCCATTGAACATTTGGGCTCTTTTTAGCTATTGTGAATAGTGATGCTGTGAACATGCATGTACAAGTACTTGTTAGAGTACCTCTTTTTAATTTTTTTGGATATATAGGTATACCTAGATATAGAATTGTGGGGTCACATGATAATTCTATGTTTAACTTTTTAAAGAACCACCAAATTGTTTTCCACAGCAGCTGGACCATTTGGCATTCACCTGGGGAACTTTAAAAACTACACAGATCTAATAATTTTTATTTTATTTTACAAACATACCAGTATACAATTGATTGGCGGGAAAAAAGACTGGTTCCTCACTCTAGAGTTTGAAAAGTACTGCATAGTTTATTCGTTTTCATTGTTGTTTACATTGCACTCTGTGAATATACCAGTATTTTATTCATTGTCCTTTTGGCGAACATGTGAAGTATTTCCAACCTTTGACTATTAAAAACAACATTATGAACATCCTTATGTAGTTCTTCTGGTGCACTTGGCATCAATTTCTAGGGTATATACCTAGGAATGGAGTTGCTGAGTGGTAGAGTATGTGCATCTTCAACTTAGATAATGCCATACTGTTTTCCAAATTGTTGTACTATCTTACCTCCCACCATTGCTATATTTGAGTTCCTGCATACTCTCTACTAAGGTTTCACTCGTACTCTAGAACACTGCTGTTGTTTCCTGGGGGTCCTGGGGATTTTGGAGTCTTAATGAAAGTTCGATTTATTCTAATACACTTTTACAATTCAGTCTTTCTTTGAACATATGACTTTCTCTGGGATATTTCCTTCATTTTGATGGCAGGGAAGGTGTAAAGGAAGAGGCATAGACTTTGAATTTTAATGTAATCTCACTGCCCACCAGTTTTGTTATTAATCTTAATCATTGTGAGCCTGGAGTGTAAAATGGGAGAATTTCATTTTTCATTCAGTTGATGTTAGTACAAACTGAATTAACATGTTTAAAAAGTACAGGGTTCAGATCCCCATACTGGCCAGCTGCCAATTATATATGTGTATATATATATATTGCACAGTGCCTGATTCATAATAAACACTATCAAGGTATATATTCGCTAAACAAATATTTATTTTATGTCAGGTCAGCACTGGGGATGGAGAGGTAAGACCTCTTCTATGTTATTTATAATATTGAAAAATTGGAAACAATTTAAATGTCCAACAGTAGGACTGGAAATTATAGTACATTTATAAAATGGAGTGCTATATAGACTTGAGCCATCATATTCTCAAATATGGGGAAATGTTTGTGATATATGAGGAAAAAATTACAAGAGGATTATTCCCATCTTTTCATATAATTTATATGCCATATGTGCATTGAAAAAAATCTGAAAGGGCTCCAGTAGATACGTGCTTCAGTATTCCTCACTTGTTAGTGGTGAAATCATTTCTGCAGTTAAAATACATTATAATCAGAAAAAAGGTGTTCTTTATATAGTAGCATAGAGTAAAGTTGTTAAAGGCATGTTGACTATAAACCTCACAACTAAAAAATGGTTTTTTTGGTTTTTTGGTTTTTTGGCAGCTGGCTGGTATGGGGGATCTTGATCCTTGACCTTTGTGTTACTAATACCAAAAAGTGGTTTAAATATAAAGAATATTTATAAAGGAATAGTTCATTCGGGGATTTAATTTTTTACTAGTTTATATAAACATTGACTAGAGTCATATTTACCAGAATTAGGTAGAAAGATGGATATCATCAAGATTTTTCAATATTGATTGTTTTCTATAAAGAATTTTAGGTGAATAGTGAAAATATACCTTTCTCTGAAACTGTTTCTTGACCTTCTAAAAGACCAAATATCTCAGCTCTTCAGTTTTATTCAGCTTTACCACACATCTAAGAAATTCTTATTTGGGAAATATATAAGCATCTTTTTATTTTTTATTTTTTATTTATTTATTTTTTTTCCTTTTTTGTCTTTTTTCGTGACCGGCAACGGATCACAACCCTCAGTGTCGCGCCCGTACCGGACCGGGACCGGCAACGGGATCGCAACCCTTGGTGTTGCGCCCGCATCTCGCTCAGCCAGTGAGCCGCCGGTCTGTATGTGTGATCCGAACCCTTGGCGGGAGCGCCGCTGCACTCCCAAGTGGCGCACTGCTCCAAGTGGCCGGCCCCAATCTTTTTATTTTTTAAAACAAATATCTGTTCCTTGATTGGTTGGTTGATGTTTTTTTGTTTTGGCAGCTGGCAGGTACAATGATCCGAATCCTTGATCTTGGTGTTATCAGCACTGTGCTCTAACCAACTGAGCTAACCAGCCAGCCCATGTTCCTTGATTTAGATTTAGATTTTTTGTTTGACTTTTCTTTTTTTTTTTTTAATCTGTTAATGGAATTAAACGGGCATCTGACCAAAGAATGGGCTTTTTATTCTTGTTGGTGCATAAAGTAATAGTTTCATAAAAGTCATTTTGTCTTAAGAGACTGCTTGATTGATAGAATTAATAGGTATCTACTTTTATCTGACTAAGAATTTTTCTTAATTCTAAGGAAAAACTGGAAGCACAATGGGAGATGACAGTGAGTGGTTGAAACTGCCAGTAGATCAGAAATGTGAGCACAAGGTAAGACTTTTCTGGAACTCAAATTTCAGAATCATTGGTTTGTTACATTAGTTTATACTGTCATCTTACTTAGAAGCATGTGAAAACTAGCACTTTCAAAAACACTGATGCAGGCTGACCCTGTGGCTCACTCAGGAGAGTGCAGTGCTGGGAGCGCCGAGGCCGCGGGTTTGGATCCTATATAGGGATGGCCGGTGTGCTCACTGGCTGAGCTCGGTGCGGGCGACACCAAGCCAAGGGTTACAAACCCCTTACCGGTCACAAAAACAAACAAAAAAAGCACTGATGCTTTGTTAGATATTTTATTTCATTGAAAGTAGGTTTCTGTACCTCAATTTAAAATATTTTTGATTCTCTGAAAATAATTCAAAGAAAGAAGATGGATTAGTGAAGTAAAAAGCAAGTTGTACCTATAAAAAGTTACTAACTGGCCATTTTTGTTATTTCCTGCTATATATAGTACAGTATACTTAGCTAAGTATTTAGTAATATTTCATTGTATAGAAACTCTTATTTGGAGATGTGCTCTGAATTCAGCCTTAAAAGACGAGCATCTTTCGTGTTCTCTGATATATATATATAATTTGTATTCCAGTATCTACCTTTCAATACTACCAATCTTTTTACTGTAGTTTATTTTATTTTAAGCTAACAAGACAATTTATCATATCATGTTATTATTTAGTGGGTATATTTTCAAATTATCTTGTTGTTTTCCACAACTATACCTCTAGTTTCTTTTATTTTTAATCATTTTTAAAACAGCAGATATCTACCAGTTAATAGATGTTAGAATTGCGTTCTTCTTTTGTAAATGTATTCTACTTAAAGTTCTCAGGTTAACCATTTTATGTTCTTGACAGATCTCTTAAGTCTGTTTTGAATCTGATTATTCAAAATTTATGGTTGTTGATTGCTAAAAAATACAGAATAGATAAATTACCCTATACAGTTGTATACCTACAGCTCTAGCTATGTAGAAAAGAAATTTGCAGCCTTGGTGCCTATGTCTTCCACTCCTTTGTCTATATAATAAATTAGCTGGATCAAATATTGGTAACAAATAGTTCTGGTCCTCACCTTATTCTTGCCCTAAATTCATCACTATCACGATCCACACCAACTGGAAAAATGACTTCTCAAAATGTAAAAGGACTTTTTTAAACTACCAAGTAATATATGCAACAAGTTCTTGATAATTTTACCCTACTTCAATCACTGATCCTTTCCTAAGTGTTGGCCATGAGATGAGGCTTAGGAATTGAGAATACAATTTTTCACATGCTACTTAATAATAAAATTTTAAAGATGAAAAAATAAAATAAAATAAAAAATGAATTAGCTGCGGTTGAATACTGTATCAGTAATCAGCATGTTCTCTCTTCAGATAAAGCCAGATTAACAGTGAGCTAGTTCCTTTTTATTCTAATTAGCATAGAAAAAGTTGGCATATAGCATATTAAATTGTAGCAAAAACAAATTTGGGAGAGAATTTTGGAACTTATTAGAATCAGCTATTTGTACTAATTTTTTTTTTTTTTTTTTTTTTTGGTTGATACTGTATTTTCTCACCAAAAGGGGTAGGCAAAATAGATAAATCTCTTGAAGACTTTCCAATTTTTGATTGGTTAGTATGTGCTAAGAACTTGTTAATCTAATGTGATATGGTAGATTTTTTTTTCCATTTGTTTCTCTATGGTTGAGCATTTATTATATGTTTTTTAAACTTAATAGAAATGTTAACTCTGGTATATATTGGCTGGTAAATGTACAACTTGTGATGCTAATTTAAACTATACTTCAATCTAATGTTGCAGAATGTGTAGTACCTTCTTTCTAAGAACTTAAAAGCATCTTATAGTGGGTTAGGCAGCTCTCTTTCCTTAGAAAGAAAAGTTTTTCCTGTGAGTGTAGTACCTGCCTCAAATGACATTCTCATTTAAACAGATAATATATAAATTATTCTATTTTGCAATCATATGTTGATCCTTCTCTCTCTTTGATCTAGTACAGAGTTGAGGACAAACATCTAATTCTCTGCTCGTGCCTAACACAGTAAATGCAAGTTTGATCATTGCAGTTTTCACTTAACCTCCCCCAAATCATTTCAGGGCTTTTCCATTGCTTTTAGAATGATGATCAGGCCAGCATCTCACTATAGGTTTAAAAAAAAAAAGACTAAGGAGCAGAATCTTTCATTTGGCCCTTAGAGTCCTGCATGGTCTGGCCCTTTCTCCTTGATCCTGTCCAGCTAATTTTGTACCACGTTCCCTTTCTCTTTGTTTATAGGAATGGGAGTACCATGTTACCTGCTGCCATAGGGCCTTCAAATATACTGTTTCTTCTCCTGGAATCTTTTCTCCTCCTTTGCTACCCTTTCCTGATTAGTGTCTATTAACCTTCCGAGCTCAGGTTTTTATATATTAAATATATGTTGAATAAATTAATGAAAAAAGAATACCTTCTTAAAAGTATCTGACATCTATTAACTAAAACAATGTTATTGATTAAAAAATGTATTTTAAAGTATAAAGCTGCATAATGATTACACAGATATAACCAGAAAACAATATATACTTTGGATATTGGGCAGTTTCATCAGGATGATTTCTCATGTTTGTGTTGTCACATCTTTAATGACATATTATAAAGATGTAATAACTGATACTTGGATACAAAGTGAGATACATTTATAATGGTCTGTTACTAATTTTAGACAGCCTTGGCAGAGTATCATCAATATTAAACACTTGTAAGAAGTTTATTAGCTAATCTTTTTAAAAAACTGTCTGAATTTATTAAACTCCTTTTTTGTTTCCAATCATAGCATGCTTTGTTCAAGTTACCTAGTATATAGGGTATTCATTTTTACCCCCTAGCCCCCCAAATTAACAATAGATAATATCATTAAATTTTGTTTCGTTTCAAAATATTGATTTTTTTTTTTTTTTTTTTTTTTTTATTTTATTAAAGCTGTGGAAAGCAAGGTTAAGTGGGTATGAAGAGGCCCTGAAGATCTTCCAGAAAATAAAGGATGAAAAGAGCCCAGAATGGTCGAAATTTTTAGGATTGATCAAAAAATTTGTCACTGATTCCAATGCAGTGGTTCAATTGAAAGGATTGGAAGCTGCACTTATTTATGTTGAAAATGCCCATGTAGCAGGAAAGTAAGTAGTTTCTCTCCAGTTATTCTGGTAAAAACCCCTCTCTGGTGCTACATAGATTAATTTAAGTATATTTATAGTCACTGTTCTTAGTTTTTAACAGTTTTAGAATATATTAATTTTCTTTCATAGCTCCTTGATACTTGTTTTTCTTTACTCTCAAGTCGAAATGGTACATGATTTCTCTAAAGAGGAGTAAATTAGAAATCAAATCTTGAGTTTTTATCTTAAGATATGATATCTTAAGATAAAACTAGGCAAGTTGTTTTCTTATGAACTTTTTATGAGAATTATTATAAACTAAAAGGGAAAGTCTTCAGTAACTTTTAGAGTAAACTGAGAGATTATCAGCAAAGGAATTATCAGAATTTCACGAAGACATTTGGACATTACAAAAAAAATTTTCTTTTTATAAGACTTCCCAGTTAGGTGATTTTAGAATCACATCTTTCTCCCTGTGATTTCTCTTTAGGCATTTTTATCTCTTGGAGGAGGTAATGCTAATTAAACCACCTCTATTACTTCCAGCCTGTTTGACTTGATCTATGGATGACAGAGATTTCTAGTTACGCCATTCTTCCATACCTCATAAACCTGATTTTTCTAATTCTAGTCTTTATGTCATTGAAGGGAATTCTCCATACAAAAAAAAAAGTCGAGACCCTTGACATAATTGCACAAGAAATATATACTTGACTTACTTCAAAGATTATAACAATTAAAATAATCATTAATTTGACAGTTTGGTTAACCAGCATCTCTGGGGTTTTTTTGCCATTACCATTGCATTTTTAATTTCATTTTTCTTCTGATACCAGAAACTGCTTTTTGACAACTGCATGCAATCCCAATCCATGCAATTCATCTACTTCCCAGTAGTACAGGTTTTATTTAATTTAGAAGAGATTCAAATCAATAAAGTTACTGTAAAGTCTTGCCAAGGAGTCAAGAGCAGTCTTTTGTTATTCAAGGTACATATTCCTTCTGTGAAGAAAATCTTTTGTCCTAAGATGTGTTTAAAATGACTTTTAAAATTTTTTTTTTTTTTTTGTCTTTTTCCGTGTCCGGCAACGGATCGCAACCCTCAGTGTTGCCCCCGTACCGGACCGGGGACCGGCAACGGGATCGCAGCCCT